ATGCCATTTACAATAGCTACTAAAACAATAAAATACCTAGGAATAAATTCAATCAAGAAGGTGAAAAATCTCTATATTGAAAACCACCAAAAACTGATAAAAAAAATTTAGGAAGACACAAAAAATTGGAAAGCTATCTTGTATTCATGAACTGAAGAAATTAATATTGTCAAAACTTCGATACTATTGAAAGTAATCTACAGATTCACTGCAATTCCTATAGAAATTCCAATGACATTTTTCACAGAAATGGAAAAGATGATCCTAATATTTGTATGGAGCCACAAATAAACCCAAACAGACCAATCTTGAGAAAGAAAAACAAAGTTTGAGGGGGAGTGGGGCCGTGGTGGCCTTGTAGGCGGGGAGGACCCTTCTCCCTCCTCTCTGCGGTGACTTTGCCTGCCACAGTTGTCAGCTCGCCCCCAAGAGCAGCTCCCAGTGGAGTCTCAAGATTCTGCCCTCCAAGAAAGTCTTGCCATGATTGGATAGGACCCCCAGATAAATATTCAAACCTTTGACTTGTCCACTTTTACATACCTGAAAATGAATCACTATTGGAACAAAAGCTTAGAAAATTAAGACAAGAAACACAAGAATGGAATCAACAGTTCTGGGCAAACCAGAATTTGACTTTTAGTAAGGAAAAAGAAGAATTTATTCTCTTAAGACTAAAAACTAAAGGCCTGGCCCTGAGAACTGAATCGGGTCAGAAAACAACGTAGAATGCAGAAGAAATGGCGGACTTTTACAAGGAATTTTTAAGTAAAAATTTTCAGAAGCACATGTATTATAACAGAGACTGGTACAAGGGCAACTTTGCTATCACCTTCTGCATGCGAAAAGTGGCCCTGGAAAGGATCTGGAACAAGCCTAAACAGAAACAAAAGAAGACGACCAACTAGGAATCCACCCTGACCTAGCCAGAGTCCAGGTTTCCACAGGAAGCAGATAGTTAGAGGGCTCCTTTTACAGGGGCTCTGAGAAAAGCTGAAAGTGATCCCAAGAAGCCGACATCTTCCAAGAGGGCCCGTGGCCTGTTGGGGGGCAGGGTAGGTCCCGCTTATATGGGCTCTAGGTCTCCTTGTTGTCACGGATGTGGTGTTAAATAAAGCCCAGGCACTGGGTACCCATTAAAAAAAAAAAAAAAAAAAAAAAAAAAAAAAAAAAAAAAAAAAAAAAAAAAAAAAAAAAAAAAGAGAAACAAAGTTTGAGGCTATTATGGTACAAAACACCAAATAGCATTTGATAACATATAGTGACTAAAGGAAAGGTAGAATAAATACTTGATTTTTCCTTTTATTCATTTTTTTTCTTCTAGAATGAGTTGATTCTACAGCATCTTCCAATGGTGACCAAAGACTTTTTTTTTTCTTTATTTAAAACTATTTTGGGCCATGCACGGTGGCTCACACCTGTATTTCCAGCACTTTGAGAGGCTGAGGCAGGTGGATCACCTGAGGTCAGGATTTTGAGACCCGCCTGACCAACATGGTGAAACCCTGTCTCAAAACAAAGCAAAACAAAACAAGAACAAAACAAAAATGAAACAACAAAAAAAATTTTGAAGGCATAGATTTAAAAAATATGTTTTATATGTTTCAATTTACTGCACATATTCTTTTTGACATCCAGATTGTACCCACATGGGCAAGGGGGAACTACCTTAAGTTGGTCCACACGTCACTTATCTTGATGCCTTCTCTTTGCTTTTTGTAATGACAAAGTATTTTCTAGGCTTCTCTTGTACTCTCCTGTCTCAAATCTGTAATCAAACATTTTTCCAAAGAGTCCTAGTTTTTTTTAGAAGACCTCATTGCAACTGAATACTGGTCTTGTTTTTACTGTTTACTGAAAGGACTGAACTAGGGAATACATGTTTTTAAAGAGTAAAATATATCTTGAGTTTATAAACTCATATTTCCAATTCCACTTTAGAACTACAAGTTTATTCAATTTCTTTGAGTTTCTTCTCTTTTATGATTAAAAATTTGGTTCCTAAAGACTTTTATAATAACTCAACTGCCTTATACTATAAGTTTTAGAACATCACCACACATTTTATTTCTAAAAATATGACTACTAAAAACAGTTTATGATTTTTTGCATTTCCTTTTATCCTTAGGCTTTATCCCACACAGTTTAATTACTGTATTTAATACCCCTTGAAATAATTAATCTATGTAGTTAAGCCATCAACTTCCCATATAATTAAGTTAATTTGTTTAATTTTACTTTTGATTTTTGGATATTGCTTTTCAAATTTTGATTTAATTTGAAAAATAATTATATAAACATTTATATGGTTCCAAAATTAAACTTTTATAAATCTATAAAACAAGGTTCATTCAAAGAAGTCTAGCCTTCATTCTGTCCCCCTCTGTTCTCATAGGTTACTTCTGAATTATTTTTTGGCTCACGTCTTCATTTTTTTTTTTTGAGACAGAGTTTTACTCTTGTTGCACAGGCTGGAGTACAATGGCATGATCTTGGCTCACTGCAACTTCCGCCTCCCAAATTCAAGTGATTCTCCTGCCTCGGTCTCCCAAGTGGCTGAATTATATGCATGTGCCACCATGACCAGCTAATTTTGTATTTTTAGTAGAGACGGGGTTTCACCATGTTGGTCGGACTCCTCTCGAACTTCCGACCTCAGGTGATCCACCTGCCTTGGCCTCCCAAAGTGCTGGGATTATGGGTGTGAGCCACCATGCCCAGCCTCCTGTTCATTTTTAAAAACACAAATGTGTGTATGTGTATGTATGACTGTGTGTGTACATATGTTGGTTTACATACATGTATGTCTACGAACACAGGCACATATACTCCTCACTGTTAGATAAAGAGTATAACACCATACATACTTTTATATTACTGTCTTTTAACTTAATATACTTCAGATACTGTTTCATGTGCTAGCATTCTAACTGGATTACATTGAATCTATGGGTAGATTGGTGGGGGAGAAAGAATATAATAGTTAGCATTTCAATTAATAAACATGGTCTCTGCCTTTATTTAGATTTTAATTACTCTTAATATTATAGTTTTCAAACAACAGTCTTACATATCGTTTGTCAGATTTGTTGCTAGGTATGTGATGTTTTCTGATGTGATTATAAATCATACTATTTTAAAAATTTTAGCTTTGAAATGTTTGCTACTGATATGTAGATATACAAGTGCTTTTTCTATATTCACTTAATAATTTGTCTATCAATTATTTTGGACTTTTTGCATATTCAACCATGTCTGTAAAGAATGACTGTTTTCTTTCTTCCTTTCCATTTTGTCAACCTTTTATTTCTTCTTTTTGCCCCAGTGCACTGAATAGGATCTCCAGTACAAAGATCCATAGAAATGGTAATAGTCAACTTCTCTGACATCTTCTCAGTCTTCAAAAGAACGTTATTGACATTCTTTTTTGCCACTAAGAACAATGTTGCTATAGAATAGATGCCTTTAGAAAATTAAGGAAATTCTATTCCTAGTTTTTTAAGGAATATTTTTGAAAACATAACCATGAAGGAATATTGTTATCAAATGCTTTTTCTGTATCTATTGAAAAGTTCTTACGATTTTTCTCTTTTAGTAAGTTAGTGTTGTAAATTATATTAATTGATTTTCTAATGTTATTCCAGCTTTGCATCCCTGACACTGAGTCTAACTGGTAGTGATTTTTTTTTTGTTAGTTCTTTAGTGCTCTTTGTAGATGCTTTGTATAATTCAACCTTTTTACTTGTGGTGGAGGGTTGGTTCAAATTGCCTAGTTCACCACTAACTCTTTCATTTTAAATATATTTCATTCTCATTCTAACATTCCACCAAAACTCCTCTTACCATGATGAACAAAGTCACCACATGGTACCAAATTAGAAGGTCCATTCTCAGTCCTTATCTTACTCAGCCAATTAATAACAAATTCTTATAAAACATAATGCTTAAGAGCATATTGTCTTTACCCAAACTGAATATGAAACCTAGATCTGTCTATTCATTATCTATGTGATCTTGTTCAAGTTCCTTAACTTCCTTTGGCCTCAGCTTGGACATCTGTCAAACATAATTAATAATGTTACATACTTTGTAGGGTTGCTGTAAAGATTAAGTACGTGTAAGTTGCTTAGAAAAATGTACACATTAAGTGTTCAATACATGTCACCCATTATTGCTTATTTTTTTCTAAATTTTTATTTTTTATTTTAACTGTTTTGTCTTTATTTTCTATTTCTCTGGATGTGCTTTCTCAGTCCTTCCCAGTGGAGTGATTTCCTTAAGCTTTACATTTTGAAACTCAGTCTTCACACAGTTTCATCTCTCTACCCTTGTTTTTGACATGTTCTCATTCCATGACTTTAAAAATCATGTGTATGTTAGTGATTCACAAGTTTATAGCTCTTGTTGTAATCTCTCCCCGAATATCACGTTATATACATAGTTGACTAGTTGATATCCTGACTTAAACACCTTACCATTTTACAGTCTATTCTTTTTTTTAATAGGCTTTATGTTTTAGAGTAGTTTTAGGTTTACTATAGTCTATTTCATACGGTGATCAAAATCATCTGTTGAATATTTAAGTCTGATCACATGACTTTGCTCAAAGCCCTCTGATCTCATTCCTATCTTGAAGGTCTTGAGCTTCTCATCTCATTCAGCACAAAATCTCAAGTTCTTTCTGAGGAAGGGTCAGAGAACTTTTTTTCAAGGGCCAGAAAACAAATATTTCAGGCTTTGCAGACCAAAAAGATTTTGTTGCAACTATCTAAACTAATATATCCAACAAAAATTATTACATTTTATGAAATATGCATGAAATTAGAAAATATATATTTGTTTTGGTTTATGACATTTTTATAGTAGTTTCATAAATATTTACTGTATAAAAAGATAAGGTCCAACATTATACACGTTTTACAAAAGATCATGGCAAGGACATTAAACTATAGGTTAAATAATTTATTCTGTAAAATATGTCAAACAACTAACAGTAGACTTACTTCAGATTATTGATTCTAATTTCTGCACTTTCAGTAAGTTTCTTCGTTTCTTCTTTCCATCTATTGGCCGCCTTCTGTTGAGTCGCTAGGAGATGCCTCAGTTCAACAACAGAATTTCTATTGCTGTCTTCCATTTCTCTTAATTGAACTTCAAACCCACGTTCCTTAATTGAAAATTCATGTTCCATTGTACTGATCTAAAGAATAAAATGAAAATGTATTTTTTTGTTCTTTCCTTATAGGTACTATACTATGATATACAGAAAATGATATATACAAAAGGAATCATTCATTGTGTCGTCTGAGGCACAGAAATGTTTGGATGAGAAATCTATGTAAGAAATCAAGTTTGGCTGAGTGCGGTGGCTCACGCCTGTAATCCCAGCACTTTGGGAGGCTGAGGCAGGTGGATCATGAGGTCAGGAGTTTGAGACCAGTTTGACCAACATGGTGAAACCCTATCTCTACTAAAAATACAAAAATTAGGTGGGCGAGGTGGTGCATGCCTGTAATCCCAGCTACTCAGGAATCTGAGGCAGGAGAATTGCTCGAACCTGGGAGGCAGAGGTTGCAGTGAGCCAAGACTGCGCCACTGCACTCCAGCCTGGGTGATAGAGTAAGATGCTATCTCAAAAACGAACAAACAAAAAACAAAAAAAGAAGAAAAAAATCAAGTTTACAATTTGTCTTCATCACAAATGAAAAGTTACAATGTTATGTCAGTAAAACCAGAATTTTGATGAACTACATATTTTTTGCAACACTTTCCCTAACACCTTAAAATGCCAGTAAAAGAAAAGTCTACTATCTACTATAATGAAGCACTTCTTTCTTTATCTTCTCTGATTTTTGTTGCTAGAATCCAAGGAAAGTATTGATGCTGTTAGCATCTGAGTTAGGTATTTACTCAAACCACTTTTGATTTACATACTAAATTTGAAACTCTTTCAAAGGGCTTTGTAAAGTTAAAGAGAATTATATATAGGAATTCCTTTACCACTTCAGTTGCAGTATTAGTGAATGCTTAATGAATGAACTATTTTTCAGGAGAAAGAGACAATATAAATAATGATTCTGAAAATCTCCTATGAAAATGTCTTCAGTACATTTCTAAGAATTTACATCATTACAGTAAAAGCACTTTAATTGTAGAATGAACTTATAAGTAAATCCTCTTTGGATACCCTACAAGCTTTCTCTATGGGGGTTAAGGAAGAGAATTAAGCCCTAATGCTTATAAGGCAGCCAATGTATATAAGTAATTGCCTTCTTTCATATGTGTCTAGAATGTAACTACCTAAGTTCAATTTTTTGGGAAATTGAGCAAAAAGTTACTGAAATATTTTTCTATGTTTTGTGGTTCAGATGAAAAACACTAGTGGAAAAAGGCAGCAAGGTGATCTGACTTCCCTATTACACTCTCAGGCCATCTATATTTTGGTATACTAAAGAAGTATTATAAAGAACATCTATTTTGTGATACTTTAATTGCTTTAAAAATAGCCACAGCTGGCTAGACTTCTAGTAATTCATTAAATATGGCTACTTTCAAACTCAAAAAAGAAAGACTCCACTTTACTTTGTCAGAAAACACTAAACAAGGCCCAACAACAACAGAATTCTTGGCTCATGGGAGCAAACTGCAAACATCCTGTCCTTGCCACCCCTGCTAAATGCAAAATGCTTCCTAAAACTCTTCAATTTGCTTTCCCAAATAGTACAGAAGCAGAAATTTAAGACATTATAAATACAGACACTGGAAAAACAATCTTGTGACGTATTACTGCTGTGCAAGCCTCCCGAGGCCCCTTGACCCCTGCTGCCATCTTAGTAATTTCTGAATTATTAGATTCTGCAAATTTAGATTGCCTGCTCTTTCTCCTTCCCTGCTTTAATCTTCACCTCCTCTGGAGAAGTCACGTTAGTCTAACATCTCAGGTGCAAAACAAAAAGTACAGCCCCTGTAAGTGTCTGTCTCTGCCTCTCACAAACACACGTTAAACACTGATCTATGTCGTGGCTCATGCCTGTAATCCCAGCACTTTGGGAGGCTGAGGCAGGCGGATCACTTGAGGTCGGGAGTTAGAAACCAGCCTGGCCAACATGGTGAAACCCCATCTCTACTAAAAATACCAACATTAGCCAGGTGAGGTGGTGTGTGCCTATAATTCCAGCTACTCAGAAGAGTAAGGCAGAAGAATCGCTTGAACCTGGGAGGCAGAGGTTGCAGAGCTGAGATCGCGCCACTGTACTCCAGCGTGGGCGACGGAGCTTCTCAAAAAAACAAAAAACAAACAAACAACAACAACAACCACCTCCCCCCGAACACACACACTTGATCTATGCATCTGTACAGTTCTTAGAATCTGCCTGCCCAGTTAACTCCCCATTTTCAATGGGAAAATCTATTTATAGTTTCACAAGCTTTAAGATCCTTTCGATAACCTGGTCCCTGCTTACTTCCACTAGCTTGTGTTGTGCCACTATTCCCTTCCCTTTCTTTTATTTCCACTATAATGCCTTTTTATTCTTGAGTTCTTTTCACATGCTGTTTCTTTTGCCTGAAATAGTCTTCTGCTTATCCTTTCAACTTTTGGAACTCATTTAGTTTATAATTATATATTTAAAGTTTGCCCACCTACATGCAAATTATAAGCTTTTAAGGATGGGTACCATATCTGTTTTGTTTACCACTGCAAAGTTAGCACCTGGAACACAGCATAGTTGTCAAAACATATTTGCAGATTGAATGAACGGTGGCTTTTTGGTGTCAAAATTCAGTCTTTAAATAAGCCCCATAGCTTTTAGTAAATAAAATTCGAATTGCTAATTGGACAGGTTTGTGGTGATGTTGAAAGGCTAAGGGCCACAACAACTGATCTCCTATTATAAAAATTCTATTAATGATAAAATTCAGAATGTTGGGTGGGAAAAATGGTTTTATGGTCTCTCTTCTTTCTTCCTTTTTCTGCAGAGAAATATCCACACAAGTAGATAGCTGAATTGCTGAAAACAACTCCATTTCTTAATTTTAGATGGTTATAAGGGGAATTTAAACCATAAAGAAATGGAGAGCCTTGGCAAAAGAAGTGGTTAGAAAAAGAGAAAGCTAGGGCTGAAATCAATGTAGTGGCATTAAGATCAAACGAAAACTACATAGGATAAATCGTTAAGGTTTGCAGCCAACTGACTTCCCAATATCTCACTGTCTTTATCTTTTTGGCTTCTTTCAGTTAATCTACTGAAGATCATACTCTTTTGCAAGGGGGAGAAAAACGACAAGGTGTAGGTGCACTAGGTTCCTATTTTGTCAAAGACAGAATCAGTTACAAAGCAATTTATCTGAAAGCCTTCCTTCTCCATAAAATAGAATTATAGCTATCTAGTTAGTTAAGAGGCTCTGCTCTCTATATATCAATGACTCTTTTCTTAAGCTAGATACAGATTTGGTGAGATATGTGGAGTAGATAAACTTTCTATCACTCTTTTGTTCTCCATACTATCAGTTAGTATCCTGAAATGTTAAAGATGGATCAAGTAGAGTACTAGATAGGGAAAATTCATTGATTCCATCCCCACCCATTATAAAAAAATAGAAAATAAAACAAATATATATTGTAAAATTATAGAAAATATACAACATTAAAAAGACAAATATAAAGTCCCTCTATTCCCAAAACTCAGATAATCACTACTACATAATTGTTTTTATTTATGAATTTTAAAATTGTTTTTACAGCATGCAAAGGATTACTACCTGTATGTGTGTACACATATATATTTTTAAATCGTAGGGTGTAGCAATATAAATGCATTAGGAATTATTTGGAAATATAGTGTTTAATGACAATACAGTATTTTATTAAAAGCATATACAGTATATATTAAAAATATATATGTGTACACACACACAGGTAGTAATCCTTTATACACTATAGTAACAATTTTAAAATTCATAAATAAAAGCAATTATGTAGAAGTTAGAAGTATTATCTGAGTTTGGTAATAGAGGGACTTTATGTTTGTCTTTTTAATGTTTTGTATTTTCCATAATTTTACCCTCTTCTCTCTCTCTCTCTCTCTGTCTCTCTCTCTCTCTCTCTATATATATATATATATATATATAACATAATTGTTTACTTCTAGATATTTAGGTTGTTTCTAATTTATTATAAATAATGCTACAATAAACTTATTTAATTATGAAATATTTTAATTATTTTCTTATGACTGAATTTTAGATTCTAAAGTAAATACTTTTAGCTGCACATTCACTCAAAGACACTTAGAAAAAAACGGTAGGCAGTAAGCAGTTTAAACTCACCATTAATTAATTGCTTGGTTTGTAGATTCTGTTCATCTCTCACATGTTCTTTTTATTGGGTTACAAATATTTTTCTCATATAAATATTCTCAACTACATATATTCTATATATATATATATTTCTCTCTCTCTCTATATATAACATATATATATATATAACATATATATATATATATATATAACATATATATATATATATATATATATACACACACACACACATATATATGTTCTCTCTATATATTTTGTTTGTGTTTTGACACAGAGTCTCACTCTGTTGCCCAGGATGGAGTGCAATGGTACGGTCTTGGCTCGCTGCAAACTCTGCCTCCTGAGTGATTCTCCTGCCTCAGCCTCCCAAGCTGGGATTACAGGTGCCTGCCAGCACACCCTGCTAATTTTTGTATTTTTAGTAGAGACGGGGTTTCACCATGTTGGCCAGGTTGGTCTCAAACTCCTGACCTCATGATCTGTCTGCCTCAGCCTCCCAAAGTGCTGGGATTACAGACATGAGCCACCACGCCCCACCTTTTCTCTTATATTTTAAAAAGCTCCTTAGATATGGTCTTAGAGCTTTTGTGATATTTATCAAAACTATCTACCTCCCAGTGATTTTCTTTTCTTTGTTTTTCTTTTTCAAACTTGAAAAATGGTTTTAAATATTTAAAAACATATACTTAAATTTATCGATATTTTCATTTGAAATTTCTTCCTTTTTTTTGTTTAGTTTTCTCTTTCAGTTAAATATTCATCTACATTTCCTATTAATGTTTTATAGAATCACTGACATATTAAAGTTGTTAATTCATATGAAATTTCTTACATAAAGTTTGTAATATGAGAGGAAGATAGAACACTTTTTCACCAAAGTACACCTTTTTTTAAATCACAGAAATGTTTTAGTATGAGAACATTTGAGCACACACAAAATAGAATGTTACAATTCCTGTATGCCTATCACCCAGCTTCCATAACTGTCAAACTATCAAACTCATAGGCACTCTGGTTTCATCTATACTCTTGCCTACTTTCCTCTGCCAAGATTTATCTGCTTCTCTCTTATGATGAACAGTGTAAGTCTTAAAAGATCAGCTAGGTTTTTACACATATACTGACATACTAAAGTAACCACATAGATTTAGATACTCTAGGAGGCTCCCTCATGTGTCTTTCTAATCAGTACTTATTCATCTAAAAGGTAGTTATTCTGATACTATCCTCATAGATAATTATGTTTATTATTCACTACCACATGGTGAAATAATAAAATATAAGCCTGTATGTTTGGCTTTTTTGCTCATCTCCATGTCTATGAGACTCATTCACTATTGCTTATATAGTTCATTATTTTTCATTGTTGTTTTTATTCCAATTTATCACAATTATTTATACAATTTCAACTTCATGAACTTTGCATTGTTTTTAGTGTTTTGACTACAACTTCTACGAATATTCTTGTCCATATCCACATAAGCACTCATATCTGTTCAGTATGTAGCCATGATTATTTGGCATAGGATGTGTATTAGTCCATTATCATACTGCTATGAAGAAATAACTGAGACTGGGTAATTTATAATGAAAAAGAGGCTTAATGGACTCACAGTTCCATATGGCTGGAAAGGTTTCACAATCATGGCAGAAGGCGAAGAAGGAGCAAAGGTACATCATCCATGGCAGCAGGCAAGAGGGCATTTGCAGAAGAACTGCTCTTTATAAAACCATCAGATTGGTCAGGCATAGTGGCTCACATCTATAATCCCAGAACTTTGGGAGGCTGAGGCTGGTGGATCACCTGAGGTCAGGAGTTGGAGGCCAGCCTGGCCAACATGGTGAAACCCCATCTCTACTAAAAACACAAAATTAGCTGGTTGTGGTGGCACACATCTGTAGTCCCAGCTACTTGGGAGGCTGAGATAGGAGAATTGCTTGAATCCAGGAGGCGGAGGCTGCAGTGAGCCAAGATTGCGCCACTGCACTCCAGCCTGGGCAAGACAGAGCAAGACTCTGTCTCAATTAAAACAACAACAACAACAACAACAACAAACCGTCAGATCTTGTAAGACTATCATGATAAAAGCATGGGAAAACCAACTCTCATGATTCAGTTACCTCCTACCAGGTCCCTCTCATGACACATGTGGATTATGGGAGCTACAACTCAAGACGAGATTTGGGTAGGAACACAGCCAAACCATATCAAGATATATGTATGTCCAGCTTTAAAAGATACTGCTACATTCCTATCAGTATCTATCAAAGTTCTAAATGCTTTATATTCTTATAAATACTTGATATTTTTAGTCTTTTTAATTTTAGCCATTCTGGGGTGTGTAGTGTTATCTTGCAGTTTAAATTAAAATTCCCCTGAAAAATAATGAAGTTGAACATATTTGCATATATGCCATTTTATGAAGTGCCTACTTAAGTCTTTAGCCCTTTTCTGGAAATTAAGTATCTATTTTATCATTATTAACTATTAGCTGTTTTTTCCTTATTAATACTTTTCTTATTAATAAGAGTTTTTATATTCTGGATATGAGTTCTCTTTTTGGTTATATGTACTACAAATACTTTCTCCCACTTTTCCCTTTCTTAATGGTATCTTTTGGTGACTAAAAATATCTTAATTGTAGTGAAATCCAATTCAGCTTGGATTTTTCACTATGATTAGCGTTTTTTGTGCTCTGTTTAAGAAATATTTTCCAATCCAAAGGCATGAAGATTTTTCTCCTAGAAACTCTATCATTTCACATTTCACATTTAGGTCTATAAGGCAGCTCCAACTAATTTGCATATATGCTGTGATACTGAAGTTAAGTTTTATTTTTAAAAATATGGATCTGACTGATCTAGCACCATTTGTGAAGACAATTTTCCCCCCACTGAACTGCAATGGTGCCTTTGTTATAGGTCAAGTGATTATAACAAATCAGTTTGTTTCTAAACTCAATTTTTTGCCATTGATCATGTTGATTATTCTCATGTTGATAACACATTGTCTAAATTATTTCAGCTTTTTATCAAGTCTTGATATCTGGTAGTATGGTTCCTATCCTTGTTCTTCAAAGAACTCCCACAGTCTAAAGAATAAAGTACAAACTTCTCTTTAAATAAGACTTTTTTTTTTTTTTTTTTTTTGCATTTCAGGGTCCAAGGTTTTACAGATAACTAGGGTGTTTCATACCTGTAATAGGAGGTATTCAATAAACATATGTTGACATGAATTAGGTTGGAATATGACTTCTTAGGAGTTCTTGCAGCAATAAAAACCAAAATAAAACAGTAACACTACCTCTTCATATTCTTACTATAAAATTGCAAGATGTAGATATTTATCAAAGAGAGTTAGTGTCACTTTTTACAAAAGTCTCATGAAATGGGGAAAGGTAAGCAAGATGTTGATGAAAATACTTGTGTTTCTTGACACTCCCTTAAAAAGATGATCATCTTCCTATTATCAAACCATATAAGCATCAGAAGAGAAGAAGAGAGAAAAGAAAGGGAATTCATTTAAATGACATTTTTGCCTCCTGCCTTCTTCCCGCCATGGAATTTTCAGACTAGCTATGAGTGGTTCTCAGAGCCTACTGCTGTAACATCCTCTATACAGTTAGTTTTACAGATGTTTAACTTTTCAAAGGCTACTATAGAGCAAGAAGAGAGGAAAGCAGTCTGTAAAGTTATCTAATCTATGGATTTGCCAGTGCTGCTTAAATTGCTTTGGCAGGAAATATATTTTGTGGTTGGAAAAGAATTTTTTTGTGTGTAGCAAAGGCAATCATTTTCAAGTATGCCTGCCAAGTTCTACAACACAGAAATGACTGGTTAACACTCTGAATTATGATATAGTGCTATCTGATGAGAAGGCAAAAAAAAAAGGGGGCCTTAAAGATGTTTTGCTAGGTCTAAGTATTCTCTATACTTGGATTTTCCTAAGCACACATTAAATTCTAGTCTTGAAAATACCTTTAATTTGGCTTTTCTTTGAGCCTCCCGGGCAATCTTCCTTAAACTCTCAGTCTCTTTCCGTAACTGTTTATTTTCTTCCTGAAGTTTTAGCCTTTGTTCACTGACAAGTCCACAGTTCTCTCTCTCAGACTCCAATACATTTTGCAGTTTCTGAATCATTTCTTGGTAACGTGATATTTCTTCTGAGGAGCTGATTAAAAAAGAAAACAAAAAGAACTCTTAAACTTAATGATCTATAGTAGAAGACAAAAGTCTGTCTACATTTTATCACATGGACTTTTGTTGGCTTTATTTTGAGCCATTTCTTTTCACTTTAGACTGAAACTATGTAGTTTCAAAATGTTATGTTAAACCAGGCAAATATATTCAACTAAAATATATTCAAATCTTAACTAAGAACAGATAAATCGAACTGTTATTTACTTAGAAAATCAATGTGAGACTTCTTTCAAATTTGTACTAACATTAAGAATCACTGTGTATAGAGAACTTCAAGGGAATGAACTGAGGCAACAATAAAAAGCAGGAAGTAGATAATAATCAAAACTCCTTTACTTAATGAATAAACTCTATAGAATAACACAATAGCTTATTATATTACCAAATTACAAAAGCTACTTTTATATTTTCCTATTGTCTTAGAAATAGTTTTTATAAACTTCTAGTTCTATAAACTTCTTGTTGTACAAGAAGTTAAACAGATTATATTTTCTGAACTTTCTCAATAACGGATCGCACAATGGGTGAGACAACTTCTATACATTAGTGTTGCTTCAATCAATAAATCGCTAATTTTTATTCCTATCTTTTAAAACTTCCATCTTTTCAATAACAGATAAACACTGTGAACATTCCCTGGTTAATAGCTTTCACAGGGAATTGTATAGAAATGCTACTAATGTTGTGAAAGCTTAAGAAAACTACTAGTCAAAAGTATTTTGTAAGCAGAAAAAATCTTAAAGAAGCAACTTTCACATGGTGGCAGTTTCATCAACATGAACCACTCTTTTATGGTCCTATTTTGGCATTCTGACCTGCCCATATCTGCCAGTGCTTTGGGTGAACATGTTAGTGATCTTCTTTGATCTCTACTTCTGCTGTTCTAGATCTTTGCTTTCCCAGCTCCTCCCATATTCTTATAAATTCTGTTTCCTATATTAAACCCTTTATTCCCACAATACTCATAGTCTTTTTCCTTTCTAAACCTTGGCTGATAAAGTTCCTAATAAAAAGAATGCATGGGAGCCTTTAATCATTTCTCATTTCCTTAATGAAGAAAAAAAAAAAAAAAACTCCCATTGGAAAGAAGCCCTGTAAATCTAAAGAAGATGGGCTAATCCTTATTCTTCACTTGACCTTCAAAATTTATCCTGGAGAGAAGCTTTTTGAAAGTAAGGAACATGGCAGGTCTTATACCCAGTCCTCACAACTTATTCTATGTTTACACCCTTTAGGAAATATATGAGAGAAAAACTTTTCACCCTGGAGACAAACTTCATGAATATAAGGAACATAAAGAGGTTTCACTGATTTAACCTTTTACTGTACACACACAAAATGCTCATAATGCAGAGAGACCATGTGAATTAAAACAAATGCAGGAATGCTTTTATTCAATACGCCTCCCTTAAGAGACATATGGGTATACACATTAGAGGGAAACCCTGTGAATGTATGGTGTTGGGAAAAGCCTTCATGTGTGATACTTCTCTTACTAAATACAAGATTTATGCTGGAATAAACCAGCTTCTCCTGCATGTTTAATCTGGAAGTAACCATATGAGCAGATTATCTGCATAATTATTGGAAGTTATAAATATATTTATTAAACAAATTTGCAGGATCTCTTTTTGAAAAAAAACTGTATTAAGTAACTTAGGCATTAATATTCATTTTAAAATATCTTTTGAACACATACAGAGATTGAGATTTCAGGCAATTCAAATAAGAAAATTTTGCTATATTAGGTAATATTGTCAGGGTGGGAAGGTAGAAAAATATTCAGAACGGATATGTCAAGTTCTAACTTTATCACTTTTACAGATAATCAAATATACACGATGGATCATTATAGAATATTCACTATCACAAGAAATATATTAAGTATAGGTAGTATAAAAGAATATAAGCAAGCTACTATAATAGCTGCACAATTAGTACAAAGAAAACAATCTTATAAACATCCTGTTTAACTGCCAGAAAGAATACATTGAAAAGAAAATGGTATACCACTGTTAAATCTTTTCTTCCTGCAGAAATTAGTTTTCAGAAATACTCTTGAATAAACTTACATTTGGTCCTAAAAATTTTCTTCAACATAAGATATATTGTAAGTCCTACCAAAAAAAAAAAAAAAAAGGTAGAGAATCTGTCCAATATTGTGTGAATTCTGAAGATGTTACCACAGAAAATTCAAAAGAAAAACGTACTCAATTTCAAGTTGTTTTATTCTATTTTCTGCTCTCGTAAGTCTTAGCTGAAGATCATCTTTTGAACGCTCTGCAACCAGGAATCTTTGGTGCATTTCTTCTAGTTTTCTGTAATCACTTTCGTTTCCTCTGCCTTCACGGTAAATCTGCAGAAGAGGTTTATTATGTATATAACATTACAGAAAAACCTGTCTTAAAATTAAACAGTTTAGAGACAGAAATCAATGGAATAAAAAGCCATGATCATGTGTTCATTTGCTCCTACTCTAACATATAAAAAATATCAATAATTAAATCTGCTTCTTTCACATTTACAAATAAAATGTTAAAAATGGATATATAAAATAATCATTGTTTTGAGACCAGCCTGAGCAACATAGCAAGACCCCATTATCTAAAGAAAGTATTATTAAAAAATTAGCTGGGCATGGTGGCTCACACCTGTAGTCCAGCTATTAGTGAGGCTCAGGTAGGAGGATCCTTGAGCCCACAAGATCAAGGCTGTAGTGAGCTATGATCATGTCCACTGCACTCCAGTCTGGGCAACAGAGCAAGACACTGTCTCTTAAAAAATAGAGTTTTTTTTTTTTGGAAATATTCATGCTCATGGTAAGCTATGCAAATAATACAAAAATGTAAAGCAAAGTTAAAAAAAATACTCTAAATGTCAACTTGGAGATAACCACTGGTGATTCGTTGATGAATACCATTCAATACAATCCTCTATTCCAATATTCAAAAATTAAGATATATGCTGTGGTATAATAACTAGAACTCTCTGAAAGTGACTCCTGAATCTCACTGGGTTACCAGGACAATGATCTAGGTTGGATGGGGCATCCCCCTTCCTCAGCAGGAGCGGTTGTACCTAAGCTCAGCTTTCCATTCGATGGGGTTCCCTCTCACAGCACAGGGTCTGTAACATCCTAAGATATCCAAGGTCTCCAGGTGCTAAGCAGCTCACACTTTGAGGCAAGTCCAAGACACCGCTAGCCACAAATTCAGACTGCCTGGTCAAGTAACCTGTGTCTTCCCCATTGACAGTACTGCTTTGTCACTTTTTCTCTATAAAAACATGGAGTATCAGCATGTCAACATTCCACTACTAGAATACAGATTTACACTGCAGACCCAGCAGTACTTTGACCTTAGCACACTGGTTGTAGAACAGTGGGAGAAGAAAGTGTTGTGCTTTCCCTTTCCCTGTTGTCTTTTGCCTTGTAAGTTTTACATTTCCCTAATAAGCCTTTTCCTTAACCTTTGCCATGTGATGTTAAAACATACATCCCAAACCCTGATGCATAACAGGTGGCAATCTAAATGGGAACTATATGATATGCAGAGGAAAACTCAGAAGGGATCTACCTTGCAGGAGAGTGGTAACCATAAGTCCTACTTTGAACACATGTATTTTTTTTCACAAATGGAATTGTATATTATGTTTTGCTTTTTGTATTACTCTTTTACTGATGTCATAACTTTTTCATGTTAATAATATAGATATAGACCATAATTTTTATGCTACATAGCTCTTCTTTGAAAATCAAATTCTGACTCTACCATTTACCACTTTTTAACATTGGGTAAGATACTTAACCTCTCTATGAAAGTTGTTAATGCAGCACCTAAAACACAATAAATGCTCAATCAAATTTGGTCTCCCTTTCTTTTCCCAAGGTACTTTAAAAGAGTATGATATTACTGCTAATAAAAAAGTATATGAAAGAAATGAAATTTAAACCATGAACTTCTCCCAACAGTTTTTCTCAAATAACATGGGGGTAAATATTCTTCCTAAGTATGAAGTAAAAATCTGTACTTCTAAAAGGTAAAAATCATAACAATATTATAATTTTCTGTTTACATATGCTTGTTTGATAAATAGATAGCCTAAGCCCAGTAACAGCTAACATAAAATTCAAAAAGACAATAAAGACAAAATGAAATTTAGTAAGATGAGGTTTAAGCAAGAAATATAGCTACTTCACAAAATTTATATCTTTAAGTACAAAGAATACTGCCGCTCTTTGGAAAGAATTGTATCCAGCTACATCAGTATTTAACTGCAGACTGTGAATATATTTAAGAAAAGAAAAACTTACCAAGACAATAGTAACAAATAAAGGAATTGCTAGTAGATGACATGATGAAAACAGACAGTAATGCTGAATATTTGCAGTTGGGTTTTAGGTAGTTACATTTCCTTTTTCTTTTTACCTTTTCTAGTTCTTCTTCCACTGCTTTTTTTTCCTTAATGACTCGTTCGATTTGGCCTTGTTTTTCAGTACACTCCTATAAATTCAAGTCATACTGTAAATAAATACACTTGGTAACAGCTTAAGAAAAGTGGGGAAAAATGGAGAAGTAAAATAATGTATTCATAATGGGAATATCATAGTTATCAAAACAAATAAGGTTATATTGATTAAAAACAAAACAAAAGTCAATCTTTGAAGAGCAGCCTAACCCAGGATTTCAGAAATTGCCTCCAGCTGTAGGATGCCAAGGAGTTCTAACTAAACAGACTACGAGGGAGACAGAGGTTGGGGAATTCCAAGTTAAAAAAAATAGAACCCCTTTCTCATACTATAGATTTTCTTTTTATATACTAACAGAACCAAATAACGGCACAAAACCCTCAGGGATTACCTATGGTCTAAAAGGTGTGTGGGTGTATAAATTCTAAAAGAGTTAACTTTTTTCTTTGAAAAAATTACAGCCAACAGAAATACTAAAAATATTTTACTACCATAAATATTTCTGTTCAAAAGATTTTAATCAGTATTTAGCAAGCATATCAATTAGATAATAAAATTTAACATTTTACTAATGCAACTAAAACAAAAAATCATTATAATTATTAGTTCCTCACAATTATTTGTAATTATATATTTATTTTGGAGAATGGGTAATGGGTATGGTTTTTTTTTCCTTTCTTTTTTTACTAATTGTGAATCAGGCTTTGGAGGAACCAGCTTTGCTAACAGCCTACTGCTTAATAATGATGTTCAATTATCTACATTTTATAGAGGAAGTGTATTTTAATATGTTTTTAAATTTTAAAGTAAGTTTCTAAATTATGACCTAAAATTATCACCATTGATTATAATGAAGATCTTTAACCCTATGTTACAAATCAGTTGACAAATTTAAATTTAATATCTTTTATTTAGAACCCTGAGTGTATAGGAAATGCAACATTAATATTCCAAATATTGATATTGTAAGTTGTTTAGGAGAGGGTAGTTTCAGCACTAAATCTGCAATTTACCTACGTTCGTAACTTCTCTCATGTGATTTTTAATATTTGTGATGATAACAAAGTGTGGCTCACACTTCTGGGACTGGCAAGTGAAATATAAAGAAACACATGTGTAAGTATGCTTCACATCCCTCTCTGCCCAATCCACCATTTCACTGACAAATGATGATGGCTGAAAGAATATTTGGTTAACCCGAGGGTAAAAAAGGTAAAATGAGACAGTGAAGTTTAAACCTTTAAAGAGAGTTACCATACTAATTTATTAGAAATGTACTATAATACTAAAGCAGACATTAAAAATTACACTGAAAAAGTTTTTAGAGATATTTTGCTTATCACCCCTGTCATGCCTAGGTTTGGGGGAAAATATGACAATAATATAGATTTTTTTCAGGTACTCATGGAGTATTTCCAAAATCATACTCTATAAAAGAAGTCTATAAAAGAAGTCTGAACACATATTAAGAACCAATATCCACCAGGTGTGGTGGCTCACGCCTGTAATCCTAGCACTTTGGGAGGCTGAGGCGGGCAGATCACCTGAGGTCAGGAGTTCGAGACCTGCCTGGTCAACATGGTGAAACCTTGTCTCTACTAAAAATACAAAAATTAGCTGGGTGTAGAGGCGAGTGCTTGTAATCATATCCACCTGGGAGGCTGAGGGAGGAGTATCGCTGGAACCCGGGAGGCAGAGCCTGCAGTGAGCTTCAGATCACACCACTGCACTCCAGCCTGGGTGACAGAGCAAGATTCTATCTCAAAAAAAAAAAAAAAAAAACCAATGTCATATAGACCATGACTGGTGCTGCCTCCCTAACCAAATAATAAATCAACAATAAAAGACAGGGTAAATTGTCATTTATTTAGAAACTAAAAAAAAGACTTCAAAAATTCATGCATCAAAGAAAAGATCATAATGAACATTTTATTTTTCTTCTGTAAGTTTGAACATTTTATAATTAATCGTAATTATTTGCTATAGATTAATAGCAATCTGCTACATGGCAGAATAAAACCTTGAATATTCTTAAGATCAACCATACCTTACTAGAGAAAACAAAGACTGTTAGGTAACTGTTGGTCTCCAAAGGGAGATATGTAGCTTGAAATACAATGGCTCTGGCTTTTTCTTAATCTATTAAATAATCTGCACACTCATCTAAAATACAAGTTTTTCTCCCTCCTGTGAGCATACCTTAATTTTGGGTTAGCAAAAGTATGCTTAACTTCCTTCCTGAATTTCATCGTGTAAATAGTATTGATGGATAGTACAGTGATACTAATTACTATTGGTATAGAGAGTAAAATTATTAGTTAATAATAGAAAACAATAGCAAGCATCAGGTTATTATGCTTCAAACTGTAGCTTAGATTTTCTAAGAAAATCTGTCTTAAAGTAGCCAAAGATGTTTTCCTTCGAATGTATTTTTAACATACTTGATATTTGAAACTTTTCAATTAGACAGTATAGTTCTCCCCATAGAATCAACATGACTATCAGATGTTTTATATCTTTAGAAAAATCAGTTAGCTCTGAAGTAGAATTGTTTTACTATAAGAAACACATTTTGCAATAATGGAAATTGTCATTATTTTTACTGTAAAGTGAGTTTAATATAGCTCTGGTTGTTACACAGCTAACAATGATTTGAAAAATCCATGCAGGTCTTAGCCAGTCCTTGCTCCTTTGAGAATATAGAAAGAATGAATGTTCTTGCCCTTGCAGGTTTGCAATCCATTAAATGATCTTGGACTAGGGTAGTACCCTTCTACTCCTCTTTTTACCACAAAGATATGGATCTCTTGATAGCTAATCGGCCCATGAAAGAGAACAAGCAGAGAGAGATCCAAGATGGCTGATCACTAGCAGCTCGGGATTGTAGCTCCCAGTGAAAGTGCAGAGAACGAGAAAACGCCACATTTTCAGACGAATTTTTGTTGCTAACACACCAGGAGATTCCCAGTGGAAGAGCCCCACGGGTCGCCAGTGCAACTCTTGTGGCTGGAGAGGCAGTTTTCCCGCTGCCTTGGTGCACCGGTTCTTGGTGCGGAGTCAGAAAATCACCATCAATCTTAACACCGCTGTTTTGGCCGGCACAATGGGTTGCTCAGATTTTAGCGCTGGGAATCAACAAGTTGGACGTCCACTCAGGAACCCAATTATAAAGACGGTAATTATAAAGACCACAGATGGTTAAATCTATAAAGAAGGGAAGAAACCAGCCTAAAAAGGCTGAAAATACCCAAAATCATAACGCCTCTCCCTCTACAGGGGATCACAGCTCCTCATCAGCAACGGAACAAGGTCTGATAAAGAATGAGTGTGTTCTATTAACAGAAGCAGGCTTCAAAAGGTGGATGATAAGAAACTTCTGTGAATTAAAAGAACTTGTTCTAACCCAATGCAAAGAAACTAAGAACTTTGAAAAAAGGTTTGACGAAACGTTAACAAGAATACACAATTTAGAGAGGAATATAAGTGAATTAATGGAGCTGAAAAAGACAACACGAGAACTTTGTGAAGTATGCACAAGTTTTAACAGCCAAATTGATCAAGCAGAAGAAAAGATATCAGAGGTCGAAGACCAACTTAATGAAATAAAATGAGAAGACAAGATTAGAGAAAAAAGGATAGAAAGGAACGAGCAGTCTCCAAGAAATATAGGACTATGTGAAAAGACCTAATCTACGCTTGATAGGTGTACCTGAATGTGACGAAGATAATCAATCCAAGCTGGTAAATATGTTTCAGGATATTATTCAGGAAAACTTTCCCAACCTAGCAAGGCAGGACAATATTCAACTCCAGGTAATACAGAGTACACCACAAAGATATTCCTCAAGAAGACCAATGTCACGGCTTGTTATTTTCTTCCCTCATTTTTTTTTTTCATGTCTCATACCCATTTTTAGACTGCATTCTAGCCCGGGCAATAAAGCAACACCCCCATTCTCTCTCCCTCTTCCTCTTTCTTCCTCTCCTTCATTCTTTTAATTATTCTTTTTTTCTTTCTTTCTCTCTTCCTTTTTCTTTTTTTTTTTTCTAAAAAAGAAACAGGGTCTCATTCTGTCTCCCAGGCTAAAGTGCAATGACATAATCATAGATCACTGCAGCCTCAATCTCCTAGCTCAGGTGATATGCTCACTTCAGCCTCTCAAGTAGCTGGGATTATAGGTGTGCACCACCACACCAGGCTAATTAAAAAAAAAAAAAAAAAAAAAAAGAAAGAGAACAAGCAAAATAACTGGGTGATAGAAAAGGAAGAAAAATGTGTAGCAACAAAAAATTACACATGACTAATTGGCCACATTGCATCCCATTAATTTCAGTTGATGTTCCTACATTATTAAAAGAAGTGACATTAAACAAACAAATACAAAATAAATGTTCCTTGTTCTATTCCATTTGGGACCAATACACAATGATTAAGATCCCAACATGTGCTCTCCAAAGTTTGTAGAATGGAGCGAGAAAATGTGATCCCTCTTTCAGAGTGTTTAAATGTATCGTTCAGTTGATACATATTTAAAAATATACTGTGCAAAACACTGTCCCAGGCAAACAACAGGGAAAACAAAGGAAGCCCTAAGACTCTACTGTGTTGAGATGCTACAATCTAATTGCAGAAATAAGATTTTCATGGAGAGAGACAGAGTGTGTATACTCAACATACACCCAATGCATAACATTTATTACAAGATACGATTCATTGCTAAATTTTTTAATAGAGATTAAAAGTGATACAGGGATTCAGAAAAGATCAGAGTTTGTAAAGTTATAAATATTTTCTTGATTCCTGTAAATTGTTATATTTTTATTCTCCTGTAAGCAAGGTTATTAAATTTCATTAAATCAAATCTGCAAGTTAAACTTATATTTCCAGTCCCACCTCTAGACACACAAGTATTCTTGGCCTTCCCCTCTTAGCCTACTCATTGCTCAGTATTCATTTATTTTAGGAAGCTTTCTTTCTTCCTTCCCACTGTCATATATACTTTCTCTTTCTCCTTGGTTTCCCAGATAAACCCAGCATATGATAGGAGCTACAGCAAGCAATAGCACCCTGTAAATTCTCTGTCAAAGACGCAACATTACAGTAAAATGTGATAAATACAATCTATCTTTCCTGCTAGAACATAAGCCACAAGACTGCTGCAAACATGTCTATCCGGATTTTCACTTTTTTCCTAGTACCTAGCCAGGGCTTGGTTTAATAAGTATCTTTTGAATGAATGAATCCCCAATAGTATATATCTTGGCCTTTAAAATAAGCAATATTTGGAAGAAAATATCAATATGGTCAAACATACCATTTGAAGGGCTGTAAGTTCTTCTGTTAATCGAGAAATTTGTATATTATATTGTTTTTTTCTGTTTGCAACCTGTAAATTAAGACATTTACTCATTATTTGGGTCTACAATAAAAATGGTTAATATCTGATAAAAACAATTCAGATAATAATTTTGATAAAAATAAAATTGCAACTTTTAGGGCATAAAAGATAAATAAGCACACAATATATTAAAGAGCCAAGAATTTGTCATGGAAGTGGAAGGAGAGTGAACAGAATGGTATATCCAAAAGGACCGTGGTTGTTAAACATTTTGGTCTTAGGATGCTTTTATCTACAATTTAAAAAAAGACCTTTTGCTTATAATGGATTCTTTCTATGAAATTTCATTTCTATCATATTAGAAATGAGAACAGAAAATTTAAAAACATTTACTTATTAATCTCTTCAAAAATAATTTATTACTGGTTAACGTCAACAATATTTTCTATGAGAAATAAGTATATTCTCCAAAACTAAATTTTTTTTAGAAGAGTGGCATTTTAAAAATACTTTTGCAAATTTCCTTAATGTCTGGCTGAATAGAAGCTAGATTTTGATATCTGCTTCTGTATTCAACGTGTTGTGCTGTCACATATCATATAGCCGCTGGAAAACAACGTTGCACACATGAGAGAATGAGAGTGAAAAAGGCAGACAATGTCTTAACCACAATTATAAAAGTAGGTGTGACCTTGTGGCCTTCCTGAAAAATATTTTGAAACTGCTGCTATAAAGCAAGTCAAGAGAAACAGAATCACACATTGAAAATGTAGTAACTTTTCAGGTGCTTTTGATTCATAAATAGAAGAACTTTTTAATAACACACATCACATCCCAGTATTAAGTAAATTACTTTTACTTCTTAAGATATTTAAATTAACATTAAATACAAAATAAATTAACATTTAAATATCTTCAGAAAGAATACAATTAATGTGCACAGAGTATTTTGAAGAATTAGTCATATCTCATTGGGATTCCTCTATGACAATAATTTTTTTCTAGTAACTATTTATGCTTTTTAAAAAGACTGTGAAGAATACTGATGCCAATCATGTATCATCAGTAAACTTTTGTGATCTAAAGGTCTTTGGGAATTTTCTAGTATCTTATAAGATGGACTATTTTGAAAATATGATGTAAACCTTGTTTAGAACATTTACAATACTATCATGTACTTTATATGGTTAATTAATATGAGTTATCTTTTCCAAGGCCTGCCAAGCATATGATTTCTGAGTTTGTTTTAGCTCTTTTTATTTTCATTTATTTATTTTTTTGACCACAGTCAACAGTAATTTAGTGTACATTTAAAAATAACTAAAAGAGTATAATTGGAATGTTAGTAACACAAAGAAATGATAAATACTTGAGGTGACAGATATCCCATTTACCCTGATGTGATTATGCACTGTATGTCTGCGTTAAAATATCTCATGTATCCCATAAATATATACATCTATTTATACCCATAAAAGTTAAAATTTAAAAAAGAAGTGCATTCCAGACAGGTCAGGTAAGCAGGGAGACACCGGTAGGTGCCATGGTTCTAGAAAGACACTTTCAAGAAAAGTTCACCTGGCTGAGCGTGGTGGCTCATGCCTGTAATCCCAGCACTTTGGGAGGCCAAGGTGGGTGGATCATGAGGTCAAGAGATCGAGACAATCCTGGCCAACATGGTGAAACCCCGGCAAATAAAAATACAAAAATTAGCTAAGTGTGGTGGTACATGCCTGTAGTTCCAGCTACTCAGGAGGCTGAGGCAGAATCATTTGATCCCTGGAGGCAGAGGTTGCAGTGAGCCAAGATCACACCACTGCACTCCAGCCTAGTAACAAAGCGAGATTCGGTCTCAAAAAAATAAAAAAAAAAGAAGTTCACCTGTGACAAATGGATTAGGAATCTAGAGTCCTCAGTCCCAGTGACTGAAAAGAAGACTATTTAGATACAAAATCTCAAGTATTGTCCATAAATATTAAGACTATGAACTTTGCTATCTTCTTAAACTCTGTCTTGTGAAGAGTATCTTGAAAGTACATATTTTATTCAATAAATATCAGTAAAATATCACTAATTTCTCAATTGTGATCTAATTTCTAACATCCTCTCAGCTATTCATTTTTTAAAAAAATACTTTAAGTTCTGGAATACATGTGCATAATGTGAAAGTTTGTTCCATAAGTATACATGTGCCATGGTTGTTTGCCATACCCATCAACCCATCATCTACATTAGGTATTTCTCTTAATGCTATCCCTCCCCTAGCTCCCCAACCCTGAACAAGCCCCGGTGTGTGATATCCCCCTCCCTGTGTCCATGTGTTCTCACTGTTCAACTCCCACTTATGAGTGAGAACATGCAGTGTTTGGTTTTCTGTTCCTGTTTTAGTTTGCTGAGTATGATGGTTTCCAACTTCATCCATGTCCCTGCAAAGGACATGAACTCTGAACTCATCCTTTTTTTATGGCTGCACAGTATTCCGTGGTGTATATGTGCCACATTTTCTTTATCCAGTCTTTCACTGATGGGCATTTGGGTTGGTTCCAAGTCTTTGCTATTGTGAACAGTGCTGCAGTAAACGTATGTGTGCATGTTTAGCTCTTTTTAAGGTTATAATTTGATGTAGACTTTTCTTATGATTATATTAAGAATCAATGCATTCTATTTATGGATCAGTAACAATAACAGATAGCATTTATTGAGGATTAATATGTGTTAGGTACTATTCAGAGTTCTTTACATGTATTATCTCATTAATTCTCACAACAATCCAATGAGGTAGTTATTATTTCCATTACAGACGGGGAAGGCTCAGGCACAGAGAAATTAAATCATAAATGTTCCTATAATACAAACATTTTGGTTCTTATAAGCTCTGTAATGTCTGTCTCTCTCCCACATAATTTCTAAAATGTGTTCTTTTTAGTATCTAGAAATGATACAGCTAACTTAAGGGTTTATGACAATAGTAGGGTATATATTTTGAAATATATTTATAGTAATCCTGGCAAATACAGATGAATCAAACTATTCATGTCTTTATAAAGGACTGTGTAGAACCATTGACGCTGATGACATACATAAATAAACTTCTATGCTCCAAAGGTCACACAGAATTTTCTAGAGCTAGTGTCTAATGAAACAAAATGTAAACATTTGTCATGTGAGGAAACCCATATTTCTGTGAGACAGTTTACTGGGGTTGGGGTTTTGAAGTGTGTTTAGGGACTAATATCCTTCTCTCATCCTAACCTCACTTTAAATAAGCATTCCCCTCTATAATTTTAGGAATAGTAAGGATATTTTAAACGAAATAGTAAGACAAACCATTAAGAAACAGGAAAATCCACTGACGGCACTAGCCATGACATGAAATAAAAAGTAAACAATGTATTTTTTTTTTTTACAAATCTTATTTGAGAAATATTTTCTTATTTATTTATTTTTAAATTATACTTTAAGTTCTGGGGTACATGTGCAGATCGTGCAGGATTGTTACACAGGTATACACATGTCATGGTGGTTTGCTGCATTCATCCCCACATCATCTACATTAGGTATTTCTCCTAATGTTACTCCAATATTTTCATATTTTAAAAAATAATAAAGCCACTATAATATTTTTATTCAATTTTATAGCTAGAACAGAAATACATGAAAATTTATTCATTTTATTTACTTTAGTCAATAAGAAGAGATACCTGTAAAGTTATTCTCAATTCAACAGGTTAATTCTAGATATTTAAAGGACATGCCATGAATAATTTGGGATTAAATGAAAATTCAAAGAACAATGCTAAAAATAGTGTCTATCTCTGGGTATTAAACTTTTAATTTTAATTTTCTTTTATACATATTTTTCATTTATACATATTTTCCATTTCTTTTTACAAAGAGCATATATCACTACTAGTAATAATTTTAAAAGTTTACTTAAGACAGGTTGGGATCCAAGATGGCTGAACAGGAATGGCTCTGGAGTGCAGTTCCCAGAGAGAACAACGCAGAGGGTGAGTGATCACTGCATTTCCAAATGAGCTTTTACTGCCCACAGAACAGGAGATTCTCGGGCTGAAAAGCGCCACAAATTTCCAGCAAGGCTGTTTCAGCTGGCACTGTGGGTCTCCGCACAAAAACTCACAGAAATCTGGGCGGCAGTTTCAACAGGCGCCTGGAATATCTGGGATATAGAGCTGCCCATTCAACTGAAAAAAAAAAAAAAAAAAAAAAAAAAAAAAAAAAAAAAAAAAAAAAAAAAAAAAAAAAAAAAAAAAAAAAAAAAAAAAAAAAAAAAAAAGGGGGGGGCAGAAACAGGGAGCCAGGTGATGTGGCTCAGCAGGTCCCACACCCCACAAAACCCAGCAATCTGGAACGCTCAGGATTAACAGTTTCACAGCAAGTGCAGCTGGATCCAGGATGGTCCAGCATGGTGGGGGTAAGGGCATCAGCCATTACTGAGGCAGTCCACCACTGCTGAGGCAGTCCGCCATTACCAAGGCAGACCGCCATTAAGGAGGAAGTTCTAACTGTACCTCTGTAAACAAAACCACCAGGAAGTTCACCCAGCAGCTGGACAGAGCCCACAGCAGCTCAGTAACGCCTCTGCTGGCAGACTGTGACTAGACCAACACCTTGCAGGGCAGGGCATCTCTGAAAAGAGGTAGCAGCACGGCAGGAAATTATAAATAAAGCCCTACTTTCCAAGGACAGATCACCTGGGAAAAAAGGTATTTATGAGTTCCACTCCAGTAGACTTAAACATACCTGCCCAGAAGCTCTGAATGGAACAATGGAGCTGAGAGTTCAGCACTCGAGCTCCTATAAGGGACAGACTGCCACCTCAAGCAGCTCCCTGACCATCGTATATAAAAAGAGACACCTCATAAAGGAGAGCTCGGGCTGACATTTGGCGGATACCCTCACTGGATGAAGAAAACATAAGAAGAAACTTGCAGCAACCCTTACTGCTCTGTAGCTGCTGCAGGTAAGCCCCAGGTAAGCAGGGTCTGGAGTGTACAGGGGCAAGACTGTTAGAAGGAAAACTAAAA